AATAATACAAATTGTAGCCCTTGAAAAACTGTATAAAATTATGAATTTATATCTCCAAATAAATTTCCTATAAAATGTCTATAGTCGATAAACTGCAGCCAATATACGATGATAACATAAAACTTACTGTTTTGTCAAGCAGGTGACCTGCAATAAATTTTGAAGAGTTCTTAAAAGTAGTCCATTTCACGTAGTTTTGTGTACTGATTATGAATCTGAGGTCAATTTTCTTATTCTAATAAGTATATAATGTATTGAAATCAAATACGGGAGTGAAATGAATGAACATGACCATCAAATATGAACATTTATGGTACGGGCTAACTTTCGCTACCAGAATTGGAATCATTTGAATTTTTCATTAATAGATGCAGAATTTCAAGGGCTTTCAGAAAATATAAAAATTATTTTGGGACAGCGAGTCAAAGTATAATAATATGCAAAGTATTAAAAAATTGCTGCAAAATCGAATTGTATTTTTTGCTCGTATATTGAAACTACGAATTAATAAAGTACCTTATAAAAATGATTCAGTTAACTAGGTTTGTAGAGAAAACATTTCTGCATCTTTCGAGACGTGTCCGGACTCAGACGGACGAGTGATTGCAGAGAAAAATCCAAAATACCGAGAACACCCTAAAAATTCAGTTCTTTGACCAAGGTCAAACGACGTGTCACATTGTATGCTTCAAAACTTTTTACAGGACAGGTATAAAGAGTTCATATGTTGGATTTATAGGGTCCTAACCATGGCCTATCGTTTCAGAATATCAAATCGAAAATCTAAATTTTGAGTGGTACCGGCTTGGCAGGTCGTCTGGTGGACCCTCTCTTAAGCATCATTTTAAAGTCAACAATTCAATTACTTCTCGATTAATATTACAACAATATGCTCGAATGATAATATATTTTTGTTATTTGTCTTTTGTCTGGCATAAACAACCGGTTTTACTAACGCAATATTTTTACAAGAGTACACATACGCACACACAAGCATATTTATATCGAAAGAACAAAAAAAAAAGACAAACATAAAGAACACAAGAAGAAAAGAGAAAACAAAGATCAGGACATTTTTTTCTGTTTGTTTTGAAAATTTTGTTTGTTTGTGTGTACATTCCAATGTTTTATATGAATACATTTATATGTTAAACCAAAACCAAAAAAAAAAAGACAACGAGAAAATTGAGTTTTCTTTAGATAAGAAAGAAAATTAATTAAATGTCATTATTTTTTCAGTGTACTTTCTGCACGATATGCTTCAAGATCAGCATCTAAATCTTCAGCACTAATAGTTTCTTTTCTTGCATTGCCACGAGTACCATTTTCCTGTTGTCTACCACCGCCACGTGATCGATTACCTCCACCACGAGTTTCATTTTGTTGATTATTAAAACGAAAACCTGATCTTTGATTTCTACTATTAGTTCCATTAGCAAATGAACCACGATTAGTTTGTTGTGTTAATCCACTATCAACACCACCTACTAATTTAATATCCATAGGACGACCTAATAATTGAGTTGTCTATGATATATTGAATTTCATTTCGTTAATATACGACTTACCATCAAGATTAAGGCCATTATATTTTTGTTGAGCAGTTGCTGCATCAGCACGACGTTCAAAAACAACTTCAGCTGTACCTAATGATTGACCATTTTCATCGAAATGTACGTGTGCTGCACGAATAGCTCCAACATCTTCAAATAATTCCTTGAAATAAAAATATGAAATAAAATACAAACAGAAAAATTCTATTTTACTTGAACATCACTTGTTGTTACACCATAGTCAAGATTAGATATAATTAATTTCGTGGTACTATTAACACCACTATTTCGTTGTACACCTCGAGCTCGATTAGTACTATCATCGTAGAGGTCATGCTTCCAACGACCTGCTGGTGCATTTGATGTTCGAGGCTAAATATGTACAAGAAATATATAAGACAATAATTAAAATAAAATAAAAACGAATAACTACCAGCCCACCACCACCACGAGTTCGAAATCCGTTGGATTGACCACCTCCTCGACCGCCGCCACGTGCTTGAAATCCTCGTTTGCCACCACGATCACCACGTCGAGTCGTAGTACGATCTATTCGAATGATATCGTCGAGACCAAGACCAAGTTTATCCGAATCGGCCATTGTTATATTTCTTTCGAAATGCTGCTGTTATGAATAAATGATGATGATGATGATTATGATGGAGTGGCGTTAATCTAAAAACTTCATTTTTTCTGTGTGGTACATTGGCTGTTGTTTTAAATTATTTTGAACTGGATATTAAGAATAAATATATAGTAGTTTTGTATAATTAAACACTGCAATGGAATAAGATCACAAAAGCTGTACAGCAGCCCGGCTGTATTTTGTTTTTGCCGTCGACGAGGCAAACCCCGTGGACATACATTCGCGGCATTCGTCGTCGAACGAATTTAGCGAATTGTGCTCATGCATTCTATTCATTCTTGACTTTTTAGTTTCCTAATATATTCTTAAATTTCATACTTGATATATTCAATAAAATGAGGAACAACTCGGGATAATAATTAGTAAAAAAACGAACAAACTGCCAAACAACACTACAAGTATAAAATGATAATGCCAGGAGAGGAGAAGAAGAAAATAAATGAATGAAAATTTCTTGATTGGAAATATTTCAAAACAAAGAAAAATATGACTATGCTTATTTTTTTCATAACCATATTAAAAGTCATTGTAGATTGGCCTCTATTCAAAAGTTTCGACTGAACAAGAAACCATTTAATAGTTTTAAAAATAAAAGAAAATAAATTTGAATACTATTTCTCAATTAAAAGTCTATTATTTATAATATGTTAAAGAAAAATATTAGTACGAAGGGCCATCTATTTTTCTCATTGGCTAAATCTGTTGTCATGTGGAAGGGACGCGAAAAAGAATACTCAATGACTCAATAACTAGACTTGCATGCATCGATCTCATTTATTTCAGAAAGAAAAAACAACAAGCATGTCTCAAGAGCAACGCCTCCATGATAATTCAAATGATGATGATGAAATGAATAATCAACATCAAATGGAGTATACAATTGCATCTGATAATTTAGAATTTGTTCCAACGATACTTAAAATAAAACAAATGATTCTTCTTCGACACAGTGATTTTATTAATTTACTCAATGAATTTAACAATACATTAGAAACGTTTACAGGAGATCAACCATACTATTTACGATTTACTGTTGTACCACATTCTGATTCGAATATTTTTTGGAAAGCACTTATTCGTATAACATGTTCAAAAGTAGATTTAAAATATATTTTATTAGACTTCTAACTTTTTATTCTTATTTTCCTTTCTGTTAAGATTTCAAGAGTAGATCAAACTAAATTGAATGAAACTGTTTTAAACTTACAACAATTCTTATCTGTACATCAATCATTATGTCAACAAATAGCGATATTACAAAAATGTTCATCATCAACATTATATAATTCATCATCAACAGATCAAAATAATTCATCATTTTCAACAGCAAAATTGTTCGTAGAATAAATAATATTTTTTAAATAGCTCATCAAAATTTCTTCGATTTTTCTTTTTTAGATCTTTTAATGCACCTAACGATAATGAATGTTGTATTTGTATGGATCGTAAACCAAATTTAGTTTTGCCTTGTACACATAGATTTTGTGATGAATGTTTTCATCAATGGTTAGTTTCCTTTTTGTATATATTCTCATTTCAATCATTATCATATTATTCTATCTTATATATAGGTCTTCACAAACATCGCCTACATCATCTCAAACATGTCCATTATGTCGTGTTGATGTTAATAGTGATAGTGGTTTTGTACTTGCTGAAACACCAAGATATGATAATGTTAAAAAGATGCTTACAGAATCAATACTATCATTACCAGGTGATTTAAAAAATCGTGCTAATGATAAAACATCAATGACCAGAAGCTATCGCGAATGACATTTTCGTATCAGTTTATCTGATACAACATATTTTTTGTTTTTTGATAGATACTCTCTGTATTCCTTTTGTTTTATTTTTCGCAATATTTATATGATTTAATGTATATATATATATATACGGCTGTGCAAAACAATCCTAAAAAATCATTTCGAAATCGAACAAAAAAAAGCGATTAACAAGTGTTTCTTTTACATGTTCAATATATACTTTCTTAACGAAAGAAAAATAAAATAAAAGGTAATATTGAATTTAATTTGATTTCTAGATTGTATTAAGTCAAGAATGAATTTTAACGATTATTTAATATATGTCAAATTACAGTTGGTAGAAGAAAAGTTTGTGCATGTAGAATGATAAATATTTTTCTGCAATGTATTAATAAATGCTAAATGGTTCCTTCTCAAAAATATCGTTTAGTTTGAGATATATATAGAAGTGTACTTTCGAAAATGTCTTTTTTCTTTAATAATTCATTCAAATAAATTTTTAATTACGAAACATCTCTGAAATATATATTGGACATTTCAGAAGATATCTATGATAATATTTCTATATAAATCTAAATAAAACAGTACTGTAAAATTTTCCTTGATACAAACTTGTGTGTTGGTCAAGTTTTCAATATATTTTTTTCCATATACTTTGTTCTAGAGAACTCTAGGATTTTTCATTCGATAGTAGAGTACTTGCTGTTGGACTTGAGAAACGAGAAATTGATGATGGACATATACCAGACTTATGGACGTAACTATGGTCATCGTTCATCGATTCAAGTAAATAACATATCTAGAAAGTTATTTGGGTAACTAAAAAGATTCTTCAGCAGGATTGGTAGATCTCAAAACTTCAATAGAATTGCTGGACTGCGGATGTCTGGAAAATCAAGACCTCATCCGAAAATCAATTTTCTGGCTTTCATTCAAAGCTTTGTGAAAATGGTTTTATTTGATAGAGCAAAATATGATATCTCGGATCTCTACAATATGTTCTTTCGTTGAACTACATCTAATTTATAGAAAGTGTCAAGCACGACGAAATCATTGAAATTTTTCATAAAAAACAAAAGAAACATGCTTGTTTTGAGTCTTCTGTAAATCGAATGCTGTTCAATGAAGGAATGTCATTAAGGCAGTCTACACATCTCATTTTGCTCTATCAAATAAAATAATTTCCATAAAGCTTCGCATGAATGTTGGAAAACTGATTTTGGTTTTCTAGACGTTCCTGTCCAAACAGATTTTGGGGAGCTTTTAGGTCCAACAATCCTGATGGAGAATACTTTTAGTTACTCAAATGTTTTTTTTGCAGCTTCTTCGTAGCTTTTACCATAGAGAGGAGAATTCAAAAATATTACCGCTCAAAATTATTCTCCGTTACTAGATACTGGAAAAAAAATTGCATGCGTACAATGTCAATTTTAGGCCTTGGTCTTCGGACAACTTTTTAATGGTAAACTATGAAGATGAAAATAAAACTTTCTGCATACACTTTCAGTGATTCAACATAACTAAAAATTTTTGATAGAAATTCCATATATTATATTATGAGGGCGCAAGAACTTGAAAATCAATACATTGTGATAGAAAAATGTTGCTCATTATTAATTGTAAATATTCTTATATTGAACTAAAAGACTAATTTGAATTGATTTCGTCTGATACGCATCGTTTTGGATAATGAATCTTGTGATCTAGATTCGATTATTAGTGCTTGGGTCTATGCATATTTTCTTCATAGTGTATAATAAATAAATATAAAATTATTGGATTTAAATATTGATTTTTCAAATTAGACTTGTTCAAATCAAAATGAAATTCTTTATTTACCTGTAATGAATACTAATCCATCAACATTTCGTTTACGTACTGAAATTTGTTGGTTTCTGAAAGAGAACTATTCAAATTTTATATTTATCGATGATATTAATTTGAATAAATTATATGATCAAGAAAAACTTGAATTATATCTTATTGATCATTATTATTTACGTTCACAATTAAATAAAGTTGTAATAGAAATAATTGATCATCATCAAATAAAAAAAGATTCAATTATTTTATAAAAGTATTGAAAAAAAAATTTTTGTTTTTGCTATTAAAGAAAAAAAAAGAAATTCTTTTTTTGTTTTTTATTAATTAGTTCGTCGACAATTAAAATTGAACCTGTTGGTTCATGTTGTACATTAATTGCTGAAAAATTACTTGAATTAAACTTTGAAATGACAGAAGAAATTGCATATTTATTAATTGATAAAAAAAGTCAATGAAAGAAATAAACAAAACGTATTTTTTTGAAAAGTTTTCAAAGACCAATTTTATTTGATACAATTAATTTTTCACCAAGTGCTGGTAAAACAACAGAAAAAGACCGACAAATTTTTACAAAACTTAAGAGTTTTCGTTCACGATGTGGTGACGATTTCGAATTATATACAAATTTAAGACAAAGTTCTTGTGATGTGTCGGGTAATGAAATTTTTAAAACAAATAAAAAATAAGTCTTAATATTTCAACAAATAGGATTATCAGTTCAAGATTTATTACAAAAAGATGCTAAACAAATTGTGGCACCAAATTTTCGTCTTATTATGTCTAGTCTACCAATGAATTATACAGTTGAAGTAAATCTATGTAAATTACCTTCACAGAATAGTAGTCCACTAGGCTTCTATTGTGATCAATTTTTTTTGTGTTATAGCTATGATTTGATTTCTGGACTGAATATAATTCCGTAACAGGACACAATTCCAAAGTATATCTATTTCCTAGTCGCCAGTTTCTGAACAGCTACCTAGATGTCATAAATGTTCATGCGTACACGTTTTTTGGCTCACAAAAGAAACTTGTTTGATCGTTAATAGAAAAAAAATGTAGAATGGATGAAGTTAGATGCATCAAAAAAGTTACAACTCAACAGACTTGAGACTGGATTTCTATTCTGTGGGAAGGGGCGAGGGTGGGATAGTTAATATATTCTTATTATTTCATTGTTCTATTCTTAGAAATTAATTGGAGAATTAAAACATTGAATGATATGCATTAATTTTTATCAAAAAATCAGAATGCTGATGGTGTTATTATGGCTTCTGTAGAAATTAAGAACGAAGAAACAAAACGTCAATTAGATTTTTATATTAAAAAAATGAATATATACAACCGATTTATGAATATATTCAAAATAAAGAACTTAAACTTGGTTTACATGAACATGTATTACCGATAAACCAATCACATATTAAACTATTTGAGCAAAAAAATGTTCATGCGTCTCGTAAACAAATATTACCATTTATTGAACAATTTATCAAAGGCTTTATTTAATCTAACCCCATTTCGTTTTAGTTACACGACTAAATGATTTTGAAGCTTGAATCCACTTTTTCGTTATAAGTTTAAATTTTAAAATATTTTGATCAATAAAAATTCTAAATATGAATTACAATCTATTCAAGTTTCCTTAGTTTTCTACATACTAGATCAATAACTATACATCTCATTCTAATCTAGTTATTCGATAAATGATATGAATAGAGAAACGGAGGGTTACACCACTGTTCCGAATATTGTATTTTGAAAAATCTGTTAAAGAATAAGGCTTGTTATACTATGAAATTCGAATGAATCAGATAGAAGTTTTTAGTATAAATAGTTCCACGATAGAGCAATGTGACTTGAAAATTTTATCGCAAAATATTAAGGCTCCGATGAACTTCCTATCTGAACTAATAGGCTTATTTTTTTCTGTGTAAAAATATTACTGTCTAGACTCCAATTTCATGCAATATACTTGTAATTTGCTCATACAAATGAGGGAAATCGACGAACATATTACTAGGGACTACATTTTTCCTACGAAAACCAGCGATTTCTGCCTATTGAAATTCTCGAGGAGATTTTTCAATGACATTTTTAGGTCACATAGCACAACAATTGGACTACATATAGTACAAGTTTCAACCGGATTTCTCCAGATTTCATGTCCCAACAAGTCTATTATTTGACAGATTTCGAATAAAAAATTCCATGGAGAGTGTTATAATCATTGATTTCTTTAAAAACTTACATCTCGTGGGACCTTTTATTGATTGATGAAAACTGTATATTCATAGCATCTTGTTTTCTTAAACTATTAGCATCATACTCGTTCTTCTTGAATTGTGGCATCGATAATCAGCAGAGGTACATGATGAATTATTTCCCTAATGTCGTTTACATAAAACAGTTCTTTTTTATTTCAAAATCTTATTTCTCAGCTTTTAACACCGAAGTAGATTAGGAAAAAAAAATTGCAATTTATTTCAAAATACTTACACTTAAAGAAACATATCAACATTTGTCTTCGCTGAATTTTGATCTGCTTTAGAAACAAGAGAATGATATCGAAACAGTATTGTGCGCAGATGATGTCCTATGCTGAATATATTTAATGGTCATATATGTTTTCATAATGAAGGCAAAGAAAATATTTGGTAGAAACTTCTAGTTAATCTAGCTTAAGTGTCTTATACAGCTCTATCTTATTTGTAATGAAGAAATGCAAATTCAAGTCATTACTTAAATATCTCTTAAGATACGTCTTGCAAGCCTATGTTAATCAACAAATATTACTTTCAGCTGCTCAAAAAAAGATTCACTTTTATACTAAAAATCGGATGCATTGCATAGATTTATTAATCTAATGGAATGAGAAACAAGTGTTTGAGTCCGTTTGCAGTATTTTATCTGAATTTTCTTTTCCGAAGGATAAACAAATATATTTGAGAGCATAGAGACACGATACATGTAAGAACCACAAACTTTGAAAAGACCTATCCGGGCTTCAGAGAGCCGACGCTCCATCAGCTTCAACGCTGGATAAAATATTATGTGCTCTGGCTCATTCAAATCTCATTGTTTCGCCGTCTATGTCTGAAAATGATTTAAATGAATATACAATTGTAATTACAAACCATTCATGTTTAGAGATATAATATGAAATAATGTCCATTAGCTATCTCTGTTGTAATTTTAAAAAGTAGTTCATTCATATCATTTTATTGATATACGCACAAAAAAAAGTCACAAACAAAATCCAGCAAAGACAAGGAAAAGAAAACAATTGCAAACATTTTTTTTTGATAACCAGGCATTCATATTGGACAACTTTTGTCTTCAGTTTTTTCAATATTTTAAAATCAAATTTAGTCAAATAGCTTTGAAAAAACGAAAGATGAACTAATCTATAGCATGAAGCATTGTGTATTTCTCATTGAACTATCGTAGTTGGCTGTTGTTGTATATTAGATATATTATTTTTTACAAGATGTGAGTGCATTGTTAATACATGTTTTGAAAAACGGCTTCGTCCTTGAAGTATTTCACCACATATTTTACAGCGAACACGAACATTTTCATCATAATCGGGTGTCTAAAAATGAAAAATGAATAGATATTCCAATTTTACGTGTTCTCTTGAACAACGCTAATTATCTTTGTAAAATTCTCGTATTTAAAATTATAGAGAGGAACCAATTTCATAATTATTGTGTAAAATCGATGTTTAGTCATATTACATGTTCCTATAAGTCACACTGAAGAACATGTCAAAAATAATCAACTAGAATGAGAATTTTTTTCTACCTTAAAATTGGTTTATTAGGAACAAAAACCTTAATGAAGGACGAGAATGATGCTGTTATAATTAAAAAAAGAGCTTTAAAAGTCTTGGTAAATGTGTTTTCTTCCTTGTTAGACATCTTGATGTCATTGAAGAACATGAATTATAATAAGTTAGAACTGAATAGAATTAAAAGCTGTAACATTTTTTGAATAGCTATTCTTTACATGGAGTGTTTTTCAAAAAAAAAAAATTATTCGTTTTTATAAATTTGACGTATTTAAAATACAATAGATTTCCACTATTTGTAATCATATGCTAAAGTAGTAGCCAAATATGAATCTTACAAAGCTCCATAATAAAAAGTTTTCGATAAGTGAGACTTTCTAATAATTTGGATGGAAGTAATTTTAATTAAAATACAGAAATGTACTACATGAAATATTCTTATTAGAGCTGAACAGAGAAGTTCCGCAAGTGATTGACTACTTTGGATTAGTGTGAAGATACTGTAGCTTAACAGTATTTTTTGATTCGATGCCGTAAATCATTGCAGGACTATTAGAGCAACTGATTTCTGAAGTACAACTTCAAACTTCTCACGGAAAAAAGCCTTTCAAGGGAACAGTTCACTGTGAAAAATTTCAAATTTCTTTCATTATTCATATTCTAAGATACGACTATGGTAAAAATGTGTCTTTTACATCATTTATATAGACTCGATGATCTCATTTCATGTTCAGGACAAAACTGAAAGCTCCGAAACTTTCACAACAAATTCTTCTCGTTAAGGTCTGTCTCTGTGTAAAATTTTAATGTGGAATTCAAAAATCAGTTTTCCTCATGTTCCTCGATAGCAAATGGCATTTAGCTAAAAAATATGGTAAAACTGGAGTGTCTTTTCAAGTTATTCATAACTCATTTGAATTTATACGATGCATAGACTTTCGACGCAAAGACGATTAATTAGTTGGTAAGCTTTCCTGTGGAGCACAAGACGCAAGACACCAATTCGTACTCTTGTTTTATCTACTCCACGGTCAACTACCTAAACAGACACAATAGTGAATAAATAAACTGTTGATTATAATTCTAAAGCAGCGTAATTTTCAGCTAAATGGAATAAGATGTCTTCGATATTGAAATGAGAATAAGAGTTATCAGTTTACTGTAAAAACAACTATCAGCTGACGTTATATTTCATTATAGATATTAAAACAGATGTAGACCAATAACTGATGAATAAATAATTTTCAAAAAAAAAGACAACATGAAATATTTTGAGTTTTCATCTAGCAAAGTATTACATCAATTCATTTGATATCGGTTACTTTAACCAGTAGCAAAAAGCAATTTCTGTAAGTGCAACTAATAATATAAAAAACGGATTTGTCGTAATCCAGAACAATAAAATAAGATCTTTTTGTCATTGTTTTTCTTTATGTACTATTAGTTAAAAATATATTC